ATCTGCCCCCTAAGAAATGATCAGGCTGAGGCTGGTCTACAAGTACTGTCCAAGCCTCTGACTGTGTTTCTAAGTCAATATCATGAAATAATAGAAATGGGTCTACAGCAGGGGTCTCAAACATGCAGCCCGAGGGCCATTTGTGGCCCACGGAATGATAGTTTGTGGCCCCCACCTTGCCTCCCCCCCCCGAAGTGTCCACGTTCCTCTGCTGTCAAGAGTTAAAAAAAGCCTTGCCTCACTTGCTGGTTCTCTCCCAAGACAGCGCCTCTTACACCCTCCATCCGGAACTGCCGCCTGCCAACCAGCCCGCCTGTCTGCCAGCTGGCAGGCGGCAGTTCTGGATGGAGGGTGCAAGAGGCACGGTCTTGGGAGAGAGCCAGCGAGCAAGGCGCGCTGCCTGCCCTTTCCCCCTGAGCCGCCGCCGAGCGATGCCTGAGAGACTGTCTGCCCTTTCCCCCTGAGTACCTGAGCCGCTGCCGAGCGATGCCTGAGAGCAGAGCTCACTCCCGGCCCATCCTCGAAGAGTGCATCCAACAGCTGCTGCCGCCACCTCTTCCAGGATCCAACAGCAGCTGCCGCCACCTCTTCCAGGGAAGTGACTCTCTGGCTCTCTTTCTCCCTCAGCACCCCCAGCACCAGCCTGGCCAGTAGCCGCCTCAGCGCCGCTCGCCTCACAAAGTTTGCTCCTCTGTTGTGGTGGGGGTAGCTGCTGCTGCTGAGTGCGCCTTTTTTGAGGGGGAGGGGCTCAGGAAGGTTGCTGGACCCCCTGTGTGTTTGTGTGCATGCACGTGCACCTGTGGGCCCCCCGCCCCATTCTGTTTAATTTTGCGGGTACCGGTGGGGGGTTTTCTCCTTTGGCAACGCCATTTCTGAGGGTTTTTTAAAAAAAAATTTGTTGTGCCCTCCCCCTGCTAGAGCCTCATGGCGCAGTGATTAAATCGCTATACAGTACTGCAGCTAAAGATGTGCTCACGACCTGGGGTTCAAATCCCAGGTAGCCGGCTCAAGGTTGACTCAGCCTTCTATCCTTCCGAGGTCGGTAAAATGAGTACCCAGCTCGCTGGGGGGGGGGCAATGTGTAGCCTGTATAATTAAATTGTAAACCGTCCAGAGAGTGCTTGAAGCACTATGGGACGGTATATAAGCAGCACACTTTGCTTTGCTTTTTGCTAGGAGGTCGCTGGCGTTCCCTCCCTTCTCTGCTTCTTCATCCTCCTGCTCCTGGTGGTGGTAATAGTGAAGAAGGAGCCAGAGGGGTTCATGGTCGGTGCCCCTCTTCCTCCTTCTCCTCCTTCTCCTCCCTGGAGCCCCAGCTGGGATAAGGAAACTTCTGGGCGGCTTCTTCGGTATCTTGCTCTGCTTGGTGGAAAAGCTGATGCAGCTCAGCCTCACCCAGACTCTGCCTCCAGCGGCCCCCAGGTAAATTGAGTTTGAGACCCCTGGTCTACAGGCTCTTTGGGCTGTCTCCCTGTTTCTTGGCAGGCTTAACCAGTGTTAGCATTACTTGTGTGACTATCATGTTTAACAGTAACCAGAATTTACAAGTGGTTTGAAAACTCTGTTTAAGCTAGAATTTGATCTGTTTTGATTGAAAATGTCAGTGAACAGATCAGCCCAAATGATGATTAAAGCAAGTGGGAAAGAATCACATTCCGAAGAAACAGACTGAAGGAATATGTTGATCCAGTCCTGGTTTTCTAGCTGTAATCTCCTGATTTGTGTGAGGAGGAATCTGTGTCATGTTATGGGGATCGTAGTCTAAAAAAGTAACTTTTCCAAGCTCTGGGAGAATTATCTCTATTGTCATAATGTCTTTTTGTATTGCTTCTTATTAAACTTACTGTTAAATCTGGTATGTGGAAAATAGTGTTGACAGTAGGGGTACAATGTTTATATAACATCAGAGGCATAGCTGAATTATTCCATTTTTCTGTAAAAACAAAGTACCTTCCCAAAACTATGTCCATTTGCTTGCGCCTAGTGAAAAAAAAACCTTTCAAGGTCTCCATGGCTTATTTATTTATTTATTTATTTGATTTATATCCCGCCCATCTGATATATTTATACCACTCTGAGCCCATTTGCTTGTGCCTAGTGAAAAAAACCTTTCAAGGTCTCCATGGCTTAGCTTCACATGTTTTCTGAAGGAGCACATAATCCCATATCATACTTTGTGTATTCTAATAGAACAGAGTAAGGCCCTTCTTTGTAGGCCTACTTGCTGGAGGTAAGTCTTTAAGAAGGAAAGGGTTTTGGGGGCTGAAATGCCCAGATGCCTGGCTCAAAAATGAAAAAACCAAAAACCTGGCACCACAGTCCTTACTTTTTAGATGCCAAACAGAACCTCTTTATTCACTGAAGCATCTTGTACTCTTCTGTTCCCTGTAGAATGTTACTATTTGTTACTAGATTCATTGGCTTGTTTTGTAGTTTGCAGTACTGTATTTTATTACATGATTTTACATTATAGTTGTGGAACTAAGACGTTTTCTGAAACTGAGAAATTAAGGGTGATACATAGGTACCTTATATGAACAAAATTAAATAAGCTATGATTATGACATGAGCTATGCCCCTCATGCTAACTTTTCTGTGTGATAAGATGCTAAAATTGAGATGCTAAAGAGTCGGGCGGTACTCCCATTACATAAAATAATGGTGTATAGTCAAGTCAATTCTGACTTTTCACAACCTTTTTCAGAGTTTTCTAGATAGAGAGTACTCGGAAGTGGTCTACCCATCTAGGAACATCCTGGGACTGTGCAGCTTGCCCAAGGCCACACAGGCTGGCTCTACTCACAGGAAGCACAGTGGGGAATTGAGCTCCTAACCTCTGGCTCTGCAACTAGATACCTAACTCACTCAGTTATTCCACCAGCCCATTACATAGACGAACATAAAAAGAGGGCATTCCACTGGTTTTCCTGCTTAACTAGTGGGTGGTCTGGAATCTCATCAGCTTATGTGACCAAAGGTTTATTTGGTCATTACTCATTGATTTAAACATTTTTACCTCTCTGTTTGTTCTTTTTTTTTTAAAAGCCATTTGTTTTTACTATTGTGGAGGGGGGAATGCTTTCTAATATCAACCATAAATCCTCTGGTTATCCAAGCCAGGAGAACTGTTATTTGGAGAAGTGCATCAAATGCAGAATTTAAGGCAAGGATGCAGAAAATGTGCTGCTCCTAAATATGCTGGATTGCCATTCTAGCCCCTCTGATCTACCACTGCCATTGGTGAGAACTGATGGGAAATACATCTTAGAGGCATCAGGAAGGCTGTGGGTTCTTCTTTCCTCATACAAAAGCTGTGTTATTCAGGGTTGGAAAGGGTGAAGAAGTAATGACAAGGAATCAGTGAAGCTGAGAGGAGAATGATTATAAGCATGTCAGAGGACCATTAAGTTGATGGGAAGGGAAAATTGTGGAATTCAGATAAAGGGTACAGATTCCAGGATGGTACCAGGGCAATTCAGAAGAGGTATGTATTTATGTAGAAGAGATACATGTTGAATCATATATGTCGGTAAAATACCTGCTTTGATTGATTGCTTTCAAAGAGTGTTTGCTGGCAAATCTTCCTGAATTTTGTATTAAGAAACAGGGATGCCTCTAAAATTCCTTTCTTGACTGTTGCCTTTATGTTTTACAAAGTCAGTGTATAAATGGTGAAGAGAAGAACAGCTAACAACTCATAACTAAGTTTTGGTTCATTGCCTGTTGTGAGACCTGCTGTTGCAAAACAGGGTATAGTGCAGTTAGTTCTTGTCTGAGCTGTCCAGAGACAGTAGATTAAAAAATAAAATCATTTATTTATTATGGCTGCAAGTAGGAATCATAACTAATTAAAAAACAGTGTGGTTTGTTTTAATCTTCTTGGATTCATACTTTTTAAAAAAGTTTGTAATGAAGATTTTATATATATATATCCTTTGTTTAGTAATTCTCCCCAGGGATGCCTCTAAAATTCCTTTCTTGACTGTTGCCTTTATGTTTTACAAAGTCAGTGTATAAATGGTGAAGAGAAGAACAGCTAACAACTCATAACTAAGTTTTGGTTCATTGCCTGTTGTGAGACCTGCTGTTGCAAAACAGGGTATAGTGCAGTTAGTTCTTGTCTGAGCTGTCCAGAGACAGTAGATTAAAAAATAAAATAAATATTTAATCTAGTCTATTACATTTATTTATTACGGCTACAAATAGGAACCATAACTGATTAAAGAACAGTGTGGTTCGTTTTAATCTTCTTGGATTCATACTTTTTGAAAAAGTTTGTAATGAAGATTTTATATACAGTATATATATCCTTTGTTTAGTAATTCTCCCTTTCCTACTTTTCCTAAACAAAAATGGAACTATTTTTCTTATATTCTGCTTTTTATTTCACTGTTCTTCTGGAGTGTCTTGTTCTGGCAACTTAAGAAGTCTCCGGAGCAGTGATACCCCTCTCTGATTGTTTACATCTTACTACTGGACACAGCTCAGCCAAAGTTGAGCTGTTTTCATTTCTATTGCTTTTGACAGGAGAAATTTATGCAAGAGACAGTGACAGGATCAAATATTTAAACATGGTGTAAAAGAGAGACAGTATTACTTATGAAATAGACATATTTTTCTTGTTTCTCTCCTATCCTTTAGTGTATATAGAGTTCAGCCTATAAAAATCTACAGATCTTGGACAGTCACTCACCTAGCAGAATATTTGTGGCTGGAAATCATGCTATTATAATGAAGTGTGTGAGTGAGTGAGCGCACATAGCACGTGTATTGGTGCATGAAGTAAACCAAGTTACACTTTTGTAAAGAGCTATGTATCTTCTTACCCACTCAAACGTGAGCTCCCTAAACCCCAATGAGAGTTTCACTCAAGTTATTATGCACAGAGCTTTGACTTTAACTAGCACAACAAAAGTTACGAACTTACGATTTTGGTTGTAGTCTATTTGTACAGAACTAGTGACTCATACATGTATGTTGTTTTTCATTCTCCTTTGAAGCGCTCAACATGGGGGATGTGAAACTCGTATCTACTAGGATCTCCAAAGCCACCTTGACTCTGGACCACTCTTCTCTAAGGCCTCCTATTCCAACAGAGCCACCAGCATTTACTTTACCTCCAAGGAATATCCGAGTGCCACTTGGAGGCACAGCCAGGTTTGAAGGCAAAGTAAGTAGAAATCTACTGCTTGGGAAGAGAGAGATTAGTGAAGCTATTTTGTATTATACTGTCCCTTCTAGTAACATGAATATATTGGGAAAATTGCTGCATGTATGCCCATGAGATGGGTTGGGAAGAATCAGATTTTTTATATCGGTAATCTTGTTTCCATCATTTTTGAGTTTGTACTGTATTATCTAAAATTGGCCAAGGTATTACATGCAACAAGTGCTCAAAGGTAATTCTTTTACACTTTTAAAAATCAGAGCAGTCTGGCTGCAGAACATTTCAACAGGGTATATTTGTCAAACAGAAACTCTAGGTATTTGATTGATCTTGGCTACACCTTGGTAGGTTCTGCTGTTAATAAATAGGTCCTGTTTTTAGTTTGTCACAGATGTTTCTACTCTTCAGGTGATTAGGAAAACATAAGAAAGCTATTTCTGCTTAGAGGATTGTATCTCATAAGAATTTGAAATAAATAAGATTTTGAATTAATTCTTGGATCACCAATTTCCAATATTTGGGTTTTCATGCAAATAGCACCTTTCATTTCCTGCTACACTGACTAATTAAACACTTCTCACTGTGTGTTTAGTGCACTGATCTGCATATGGGAATTAGTCTTATTGACATTCATGGAATTTTCCTCTGCATAAGCATATGTAATGTCCTAGTATATGTTTCCTTCATACTGAACCATTTTTATTCATAATCTCAGTTCTATTACTTTGATCCCACTTTATAGAATTGAGGATGGAAGACTGAGGCTGATGTTGCTTTTGCTTTGGAATTTATTGCTGTATTTTCCAATAAAGCCTCTGAAAGCACTTAACAAAGTTAAAAACTAAATATTACAATAAATGCTTTTACTTCCAAAAAAAAACATTAGGTACAAGCCAAGCTTGGGACAGTATTCTAAAATCAGGTCATTTTTTATTGTTTTATCCCACCATGGGTCACCCACCCACCTTGGTTTAGAGGTTGGAGGTTCCCAAAGAAATGGTGTCTGAGCAAATATCTCAGTAATTTGGGGGGGGGCGGTTCATGAGAGAGAAGTCCATTCTCAAGGTGGTCTAATTTCAAGTAGAATAATAGTGTGATCACATGGGGAGATAGATAGCATTTTTGACTGCTTGTGATGTGGTCTTGTGCAATTGGTTTTCCTGTGATTACTCAGTGTTTGGGCAATTGCACTCCAATCCGACCCTGATCCATGCCTAAACTGGACCTGTTTGGTCCAACTGGAAGGATATTACCTACTGGGACTGGGCTGGAGTGATTCCTTTGCCGATTTGTCATTTAGTGATATCACTTGTAGCAAAGCAACCCTATCCAGTGTGATCAGACACGTGCACTTCCAGACATCTGATTGCACCCTAAAGCTTTAAAGAGCAAAAGGAGAATATTAAGCTGGGCCCACAAATTGTTTAGGAACAGCCACTTGTTCAAATGACTCAGCGAGCCTGGTCCGTATGCTGAAGAATTGGATGGTATCATGGATTGTACTATCTTGGAGTATAGGTAAAAAGCACTTATTTTAAAATGCTGCTCCATATGTGTGTTGCAGAGATCTGAAAAGTAATGCTTTGGCTCAGGTGCTTGGCTTGTTATGTTTGTTTTTTAATTTCATAAGATTTTCATACAGAGAATTTAAAAACCACCCCTCAACTTTTTCCCTGCATGTTCTTTGAAAAGTTGCAATATGTTCTAGCACCTCGGAAGCTTACCCCCATCATTCTGAAAGATCAGGCCTGAGCTGACCCTCAGAGATTCCCACACTTGACCATACACACGGTCTTCGAACCTGATTGGTAACATTTGCTGAGGCACAGCTGTTCTGTTATCTCTTGAGATATACTCAAGTCTTCTGTCATAGGAAAAATGAGCTGCAGATGTTTTGATGAGTTGTTACTGATACTTGGCTTAATCACACAATATAAATATTAAACTAAACTTGGGTTGAAACATTTTTTAAAATGGCTAGACAGGAGATTTTCTTCAAAGCAGTCTTCCATGCTGGAATTTATCTTATCAGAAAGAACAAACATTTTGAGACTCCAAGGCAGGATATAAGGCTGATATTGTAAAGATTTTATGCTCTCTCATTTTAAAAAGAACCTGGTAGAAATCCCAGAGTCAGGTCTGTATTATTCTTTCCTGAATATATATATCAAAAAGCTGTGTAGAATAATTCACATAAAAGGAGAACTTGAAAGAGAAGAAAAATGCAGAAGTTAAATCCAGGGCAAGTGAAGAAAAGGTAAAGATTTGTTTAAATGCATTGGGGGAGGAAATACCTTTCAGAGCAACTCTAGTTTTGTTTTGTTTTTCTTTAATCGGACTAACGTCAAGATGTACTGCACATCTTTTAAAGAAGTGTGTCATAGGAAATTACACTGAGTCTCTTCAGATAGGAATCAAAGCAGTTTTTTTAATGGGGAAGACATGCTATGAATGTGCAAACAAGAAAAGGAAGCTGTGTATTTTGTTAATTAAGTAGTGTGGTCTTTCTCTGTATCCTGGTCCATCAGATGGCAGGGTGGGGGCAGTGATTGCTTAAACGTTCTGAAATCTAATGGTTGTTGTGGGTCTTTCAGGCTCGTTGGCCGTGTTCTGAAGGTTGTTCTTCCTAACGTTTCGCCAGTCTCTGTGGCCGGCATCTTCAGAAGAAGGAGTATCTTGTCCTCTGAAGAGGACATGATACTCCTGTCTAATATTCTGAAATTCTGTCTAATATTCCTGTCTAATATTCTGAAATCTGTTCAGAATATTAGTTGTAGTCATGGTGATGCACTCAAGTGCAGAGCATCTATCTGTTCATAGATCTGTCTGTGTTTCCTAGATGGAATTAATTTCAGATGACAAAGCATTGCCCCTTTCCTGTGTTACATATTCCTGATATGTGAAGAAGCAATAGTGACTTATCAGTGCAGAAAGCCAAGTTGAAACCAATAGAGCCTTGTTTTCCCCCTCCCCTTTCCCCCAAATTAAAGCATTTTAACGTTGTTGGGAAAGTCTTATTGCGTACATCTCTTTGAAGAATTAACCAAATGTTTTGTTGCCTGGGGCGAGGACAGGAGGTAGTAGTTGCCAATAGAAATGGCCATGGTAGTGCCTTCTTTAAAGAAGTGTATTAACTGTGTATTCTGTGAAAAAAGAAACAAAGGGAAATGTGAGTCTGCTGCGTGAATTAAGAGTTAAAAAATACATCAGGTAGTTCATATTGTCCACAAATGAGAGAAAGATTTTGTCCTGGATAAAAATTTTAGTCTTTAAATCATCAGAAGAAAATTCTTGAATTAACTTGTGGAGTTAATTTTTTTATCATTTTGAAATGGAAGTACTCAAAGGCACTTTTTTAAAACAGTGGGATGCTGTGCTTGGAAGTATTCCACTTTAATAATGTATCTGTGTATAATAATTTATCCAGCATGGGTGATAGCCTTGCCGCTCCATAAATCAGTGCGCTGTTGAGAACCTGATGCTAGCTAGAACAAAGCCATCCTTACACACAGGCATTCTTTTGATGTCTACCAGGAAATGGGAAATCATAACCTGCTCTGAACTGAACCTAATATTAGGGCTGCATGTTGTCTCTCCCTTGCTAGAGGCACTGACAATGGCTAGTCTATGTGAAATAAGATGGTGATGGACGCAGAGTTGTCTCTCACCTCATACGCCCTTTCTTTGTGTAAGAAGTTAATTTTCTCATCTGAATAGCATTAAGTGCATTGTATTTATTTTCACTTTAAAGAATAATGACCACACATTTCAAAACTGATTCCTTTTTTTCCCAACCAAGTGGAGACAAGGATTGGACTCTCCTTTATTCTGTTGTGAGACGTTTCTGTTCCTATGAAGGAAAAAAAAAAAAGAGATCCTGGCAGATAACTCTCGCACTGTGTTCCTTTCCATTTTGTGCCCACCATGTTGTCAAATAACCAGTATGCCTGCCTGGAATGCAAGCACAGTGTTAAAGACATGTTTCTGAATGGTTTCTTGTAACCTCAGTTTGTGTGTCTTCATAGAATGATTGAGTTGTAAGGGATCTATAAAGCCATCCAACCTCCTGCTCAGTGCAGAGAGCCAAATCAGAGATCTGACTGATGGTTGTCCACTTTTCTCTTGAATGCCTCCAGCGTTTGAATGCTCGCCACCTCCTGAGGTAATTGTTTCTGTTGTCATACAGTGCTGCTCTACCAGTTAAGATGTTTTCCCTGATATTCAGGCTAAATCTAACTTCTTGTAACTTGAGCCTATTATTGCTTGTCCTGCACTCCGGGATGATCAAGAACAGATCCTTGCCCTCCTCTGTAGGACAGCCTTCTAAGTATTTGGAAAATCCTATCAAATTTCTCCTCAGTCTTTGCTTCTCACTGCTAAACATGCCCATTTCTTTCAGTCATTCCTTATACAGCTTGGTTTCCAGTCCTAGTTTCCCCATACACAAACTGGGGCTATGAAACAAATTAGGAGCAGGTCCTTAATACAGTAAATATATCCGCTGATCTTGAAATCCTTCTTTTATCTTTTACTCTAGATCAATAAGACTTCATTTGTTTGCTGGCTTCTTTATTAGTTACCCCTTGTTTCCTCCAGTGAGTTCAAGGTAGCATATGTGGCTTTTACCTTCTCCTTTTTATCCTCACAGTATCCTGTGAAATAAATCAGTCAAAGAGAGAGAAAATTGTTTGCCCAGTGTCACCCAGTAAGCTTCATAATCAAGTTGGAACTTCAGCTGGATCTCTCACATCCTATTCCAGTGATCTGAACGCTTACACTGCTTCTAGCAATTCTTAAGCACAGTTGTTTTCTCCCTCTAAGCCTATGAAACAGGAGGGCCACTGAAATAGCAAGCACCCATTGTTGGCTCTGTGGGAACAAGTGATATCCTAAACTGGCTTTAGGACAAGCCCTATTTGTCCTGTTCTAGTTCTCACATGTGGAGAGCTAAATCTGAAAAAAAAAGAAAAGAAAGAAGAGCAGACGCTGATTTAGAAAATCTG